GTACTACAGATGGCGTTTACCGCGGCATTTGTAGTATTTTCTAAAACGCGCTGTTAAGACAGCAGGTAAAGGTTGGTCTGTGTTCAGTTGGAGCTGCCTGCGACGCGCTGATGAGATCCAAAAAGATCGAAATTGCGACCCGCGTCTGGCAGTTTCGACAGAATACAGACCACTTCGAATTATTTTGTTATTAAATAAAAATAAATATTGCTAAGATCATCATCATTTGGTCTCTCCCGTTCCTATGTTATCAAAAATAAGTAAACCAAAGGTCCCCGACCCCTTTTGGTTCTTAGGTAATATTGAAAGAACCCCTAAAACAAAATTTAAGGGCTAGAAAATCGACTATTTTTGATTTATTTTTTGCGGTGAAAAGTACCCAAAATCGATTTTTTGTACCAAAACCGATCTAATATATCAGGTAGGCAGAACGAGCCGGAGAAGTCGAAGTTGATGAGACAAGAGATCAACAAACTGAGTCCGTGTCATCGGGAGACGTTATCTTATCTCTTCAAACATTTAGTAGACGTTAGCAGGCGAAAGGAGTCGAACAGCGTGAACGTGGCACTTACTTGGATGCCGATACTTTGCAAAAAATTGATAAACACTTCCGACATCCGGCTGGAGAAGTGCGTCGAAGTAGTCGAATATCTGATGGAGTTCTACGACGAGAAGTCCGCAACGACCGACGCCCTCATGGAAAATCTCAAAAATAATCTTAAAGCTTACACCCAAAATCAACAAAAGTACGGCGCGGGTTGCGTGAAATCGTTGAACAACAACAACAACAGCAGCAGTAGCAGCAACAATAACAGTAGCAGTTGCGAAAGTTTGTCCAAACAAGAGAACAACAACAACAACAACAACAATAATAACAATGCACCATCGGAGTCGACTGTTAAAAAAAGAATCCTTAAGAATACGTCGGCCTTATACAGGGACAGCAAATATTACAACGCGAGCCTGCATCCTCCCTCTATATACGACACTGTGCCCCCAACGCAGACTGGGCTTTCTAGTAAAGAGGAGGCGCGGGGGGAAGCAAAACTATTAGAGACTGACGCTAACAAAAACGTAAAAAAACACGAACGTACTACCAAACTGTAGCTTTGTTGTCTTTTACATGCATACATACATAAGCATTTATACATATATATATACGATAAGTATTAATAAATTAAATCGTTTTTATATATACGACTGTACCTACGAGTAAGCCCCTACGCAATATAGATATAAAATGCCGACATACAAACCTATTTTATTATTATTTGATTTCTCTTTTTTGTTTTTGTTTTTCTTTTTTGGTACTGTCCAAGAAGGATTGTGATTGAATGTATTTATACGTATTATGTCAATTGTTTTGACAGTAAAGTTATATTAAACTTTGTTGTTTCTCTGTCGTCTGACATAACATAACCTAACCTAACCTAACCCAACCTAACCTAACCTCGCTTTCGACTTGGAAAAGCGAACCCAACCTGACTTCTACACTTGGAAAATCAATAGAACATAACCTGTCTTCAATCAACGTAGTGTGACATCTGATCTACACAATGTGGTTAGAAAATACTAAGGTATGTACATACTTTTTATTAAATTTCCTTTATATGGATTGATATCAATGTATTTATACGTTTGTCAATTGTTTGACAGTAAGGCTATGTTAAAAGTCGTTGTTCCTCGGTGTTTTGACGTAACCTAACCCATAATCGCATTCGACTTATAAAAATAATCCCCACTTAACTTATATACTAGGAAAATTATTAAAAGGTAACAGGTCTTTAAGCATCGTAGTTTGACGTGTAATCTACTCAATGTAGATAGAAAATACTCATGTAGTTCATTATTAAAATACCTTTTTTGGATTGTGATCGATGTGTTTATGCGTTTGCCAATTGCTTGACAGTAAGTTTATGTTAAACTTCGTTGTTCCTGGGGGTTTTAACGTAACCTAACCCAACCCAATACTGTCTAACCTAACCTAACACAACATTACTTTTGACTAGTAAAAATAATCCCCACCTTACTTATACACTAGGAAAATCATTAAAACATAAAAGGTCTTCAAATAACGTAACTTGACGTGTAATCTACCCAATGTAGATAGAAAATACTCATGTAGTTCATTATTAAATTTCCTTTTTTGGATTGTGATCGATGTGTTTATGCGTTTGCCAATTGCTTGACAGTAAGTTTATGTTAAACTTCGTTGTTCCTGGGGGTTTTAACGTAACCTAACCCAACCCAATACTGTCTAACCTAACCTAACACAACATTACTTTTGACTAGTAAAAATAATCCCCACCTTACTTATACACTAGGAAAATCATTAAAACATAAAAGGTCTTCAAATAACGTAACTTGACGTGTAATCTACCCAATGTAGATAGAAAATACTCATGTAGTTCATTATTAAAATACCTTTTTTGGATTGTGATCGATGTGTTTATGCGTTTGCCAATTGCTTGACAGTAAGTTTATGTTAAACTTCGTTGTTCCTGGGGGTTTTAACGTAACCTAACCCAACCCAATACTGTCTAACCTAACCTAACACAACATTACTTTTGACTAGTAAAAATAATCCCCACCTTACTTATACACTAGGAAAATCATTAAAACATAAAAGGTCTTCAAATAACGTAACTTGACGTGTAATCTACCCAATGTAGATAGAAAATACTCATGTAGTTCATTATTAAAATACCTTTTTTGGATTGTGATCGATGTGTTTATGCGTTTGCCAATTGCTTGACAGTAAGTTTATGTTAAACTTCGTTGTTCCTGGGGGTTTTAACGTAACCTAACCCAACCCAATACTGTCTAACCTAACCTAACACAACATTACTTTTGACTAGTAAAAATAATCCCCACCTTACTTATACACTAGGAAAATCATTAAAACATAAAAGGTCTTCAAATAACGTAACTTGACGTGTAATCTACCCAATGTAGATAGAAAATACTCATGTAGTTCATTATTAAATTTCCTTTTTTGGATTGTGATCGATGTGTTTATGCGTTTGCCAATTGCTTGACAGTAAGTTTATGTTAAACTTCGTTGTTCCCGAGGGTTTTGACGTAACCTAACTTAACCCAATACTGTCTAACCTGACATAACCCAACATTACTTTTGACTAGTAAAAATAATACCCACCTTATACACTAGGAAAATCATTAAAACATAACAGGTCTTCAAACAACGTAACTTGACGTGTAATCTAATCTATCCGTGTCTTTAAACATACAAAACCAAATTATTCTTAACCTAACCGCACCTACCATGATCTCCTGAATGAAATATAAACGTAACCCAACCTAACCGAATAATTATTTCACTTTTTGTTGTACTTTCGGTCAATCAATCAATAATAGTATAACTACCTGGGGAGAATATTGTTCCACTTGGTCAAGTAAAGTATCGGGATATCCGGGAGAATAAAATCGAACAATTTCATCAGGAAAGCAAGCATTTACAATAGTGATGTATTCCATTAAAGTGGAACCGGGTTCTGCTTCTATTTCTTGTACCCTTTTTAGTCCTCCGGTTGTAACGAACAAACGTCTCGCTTGAGGATCATTGGGAAGAACCTGTGTTGACCAATATGAATAATTAAAGTAACCTGTACTAGCCTTTCCGACTAAGTAAAACCACGATAAGTATTAATTAATTATAGAAGTATACACGAAAAGTCATTTTAATGATATAGGAAAAGTGCGAGTACTGTTAGATTCGTTACAAAATTGTAAGAAATATTTTCCTTTACAGTTTTCCGATTGGACCGATAATAATCGAATTATTAACGATTAAATATAGAAATAACCACCAAATCATCGCACACTTTCTTTGCTGCAAGTGGAAGCGGAAATAAAAATTGCCCGCAGCAGTCGATTGCTGCTACTTGCAGAAGCGAAGGCGCGTTCTGATTGGGCAGTGGTTTTCAATCTTTGATCGTTAATAACTCGGTTGGTACTTTTCCAATCGAAAAACTGAAAAGAAAAATGTTTCTTAGAATTTCTTACAGAATCTCACTGTACCGATAACTTTCCAATAGCTTTATAAACATTCTATATAACTACATGTATACATATGTATGTGTGCACAGGTACTTCTCATTTCTCTTTTAGGGAATTAAATAGCAATACATATGCATTTTATATCAGATTTTGTGTGTTCAAAATAATATTTAATTTGTTTAGTAAAACATTATTCTACATACGTACCTATAGGTACGTAATAAGTATTACGTCAGATTTTAAGCTTGTATTTACGTTATTGTGTAATTTGAATAAGGCGATTAAGAATTAAACGAATATTTTCTACTTTTACGCTGTATTAACCATGAGTACTTACTATATGTAATAGAAGTAGGTGATATGGTCTACAGTTGAAATAAAATACGTTTGGGATTTGAAATTTACCATATATCGATGGTATGATTTCTTTAAAAATAACCATCTGTGTTTAATTCAGTTTTCTTTTATGCTTATAATTAAACGTATATTCTAATTTTAGTGCATCATGTGTTGAAATATTAAGATTTTTCGAACAACAAATTTAATAATAGAAAGTTTTGAACTGACCCGTTGTAAAAATAAACGCATATCTCTAACTATTGAAAAAAATACCGTGTTTATGTATTGATATACTTCACCTTGACTAATTCCAATATTTACCGACTTCCTTCCTTAAAGTTGTTTTAAATCGTACTCCACGACCTTATAGTATTTAGTTGATACATTTCAAGGCGTTTGACATGATCAGTTTTGATTCCAATCCGGGAAAAATACTAATAACAAGTTTTTTAAACAATTCTCCTTGAAAAGACATGGCAAACTACCCAAATACGTAGAAAGATACTACGCGCTAAACTTTCTCAAATTGTTGCTTTATTTATTGCTATTGTTTTTGGTTGTCCAATCATGCAAATTTAACAAAATATATACGTAATTATAAAAGTTTAAATAATTTAACCTTGATGCAATTTCTGTTAACTATCAATTCTGTCTAATCAATAATTGTGCATTATGACTTCAATAAAAACTATTCTTTCACAGAACAATTATTCTAAAATAGCTCTAAACTTATTAATGTAGATTTGTATCTTTTTAAAATTTTAATCTGAAAGAAAATAATGTATGATGTGATCAAAAAAAATTACGTACTGCCAAAAAGTTTGCAATAAATAAAATAAATAGTTACTGTACATACATATGCCACTAAAAGGTTAATACAACAAAAATTTAATTAGATTTATTTTTCATATTTAAGTTTATCTCAGCGTTAGCACACGTGCCTCAACATTACCTACAGCTGATTATAATTATTACTTTTTTTGGCAAAATATTTGCAATTTTTATTTATTATTTTGTAGGTCGACTATTAAATTTAACAGTCGATTGTAGGAAAATAATAGATTATCTATAATCGCTATAGATCAAGGATTAGTAAATTTAAATTATTTTTAAAAACGGAAAAATAAATTAATCGGACAATTGTCCCACTCTTAATTGGCGCTCCTGGGCAATTTTTTGGTGGCACCCTTTATAAATCCAGAGTTATCGAGATTTAAAAAAGAATTTCAAATTTGGACGGTGTGGTTCTTCCCCAAAGTGTATAACACACATTTTAAATAATTTTACAATCCATGTGCTTTAAAAACGTCTAACACTAAATATGTAGTGGTTATTACATGTCATTAGAACAGTGATTCCTAACCTTTTTAATATTGGTACCCCTGTGACGTATTCAGAAAACTAATTTTACCCTGACCTCAAAATGTTATCAACACAAACAAAACAAGCAAATACAAATATTTTTAATAATCACAAATTGCACATCGTTACGTATTTTAGGTCGTAATTACTAGGTTCTTTGTTACCCTCCCCCATATAATAATTGATTTACCCCCAGGTTCGGAATCACTGCATTAGAATATAAGTCCATATGCAACAAACATCCATCCGAATTTAGACATTTGAACCCGTGCCTTTCATTGCAATTGTTTTGTCAGAATAGGCGACGAAACCGCCCTGTTGTTGTCTTGGTATCCCTTAAATCTCAGCGTTGTCATATCTGCCCCCTCCCCTAAAGTCATTTTCTATACAAAAATGGAATTTCTAACCGAAGGTGAACGCTGACTAAGTCATGCAATTTCTTGTATGAGCAACAACGACTTGATGCATGCTGTTTTACAAACTTATAAACGCTTTTAAAAACAGTATGTTTACGCAATGAATATGCGTAAAAGAAGCGATACACTTATGTACACGCATGTCTATATGAATGTGCGATATTTTCGGTAAATCCTACTTGAATTTAAATACGTTTATATCTATTTATACGCTTGGAATGCCTATTTTGTAACCAAGAGCGTTCTGAATATAATAACATAGTAAACTTCTTACAATTACTCCTAATAATAGATGATATTAAAACACCAATTGTTGCCGCAGAGAAGCACTTCACCGAAAAAGGATATGTTTGAAATACTTTTTTCGACACCATCGCTTCACAAAAGAAAATTATTTATTTTATAAACAATTTAATTCCAGATATTGTGTGATATATATATACAATTTCCGAAGCTGTTATATGTTTTGATGTTGTTTTTCGTACAATTTTGTTCGAGAACAATGCAGAATTTTGAAAATTCATAGAAAATCTATTACTCAGTACTTATGAAACGTTCTTGAAAAGTTTAAATTATCGTCGCATCAGTTCGCGTTTGTAAAAGAAAATTTTAATACTGATATCGGTCGGATCTCGATTGTGAAATATATAAAAACATATAGCGGAGCCCTTTCATTCAAATAGTTCCCAAAAAACAATCCATGAACCAAATGACTCTTTTTTAACCACTTTTTGACCACCCCCGTCCTCGTTGGACCCCCTCTTAGACCAACGTGGTATTTTAAAATGAAAATTTCAAAGAAACTTTATTTTTTATTTTCAATGACCATGATTTTTATTTTTCAATTTGAGAGTTATTTTCAACTTTTTATCTTTCTATTTTTTTTTTTTTTGGGTTTATAAACTTTACTAACGCTCCCTTTTAAGTGTCAGATCAACAAATTAACCGAGAAAAACACAACTTCCTTCCAATTTATTTACGATCAGTCAAAGATCGTCAGATGTTGAACAGGATAAAAAACGATCGCAATGGAAAACTTTAGAATGAGTTGTAAAGAAAAAGGTATTTGAAACTTTCAAGAACAACACACTCAATACTTGTTCGTTTAATGAATTAATTGACCTCATAAATTATAGTTCGACCTCCTTTAATACTAACCATCATGCACCACCATACACCTTTATAGTAGCAAACGGTCTCTAGATCTAATCAAAATTAATGGGGTAATAAACACAATGACGGACGTGTACGAGTTTGAAATATTTTTTTGTTATTTTCAAGAAAATGTTCGATTTTCCATACGCTATTATAATTAAAAAAAATTTTTTTTAAAAATGATGTATTGGCTTCACTAATCATGTCATAAATGATTAATGAAAGCAGTACTTTACTATAAAATATTCGAAAAGGGCTTATGAATAATAATTAATAATATGAAAACTGAAATCTGAATCTTTTTCTTTTGTTCTAACAACACAATTAATTTTTGTATTTTTTGATAGTACATAGGTACTAATAAAAGTTGTGTATGATAATTACAATAATAATAGGAATAAATTAGATTGTTATCTTTTGTCTCACATAATAGATTTCGTGCCTGGTTCTAATTTTTCTATTGACATCAATTTTTATACCTATACATACCTAGTTCATTTTCATTAACCTATTGCATTATCAACATGAAAAGTATCCAGTATTTTATTACTGAATCGTGTGTCACAACGATTAACATTAAAAATTCTATACCTACATTCAGTTCGATAAAGAGAATTACATTTTTAAATGCGGGTCAACCATTTGATTCTTTGTGAAATTCTAAGAAACATTTTCCTTTACAGTTTTTTGATTGGATGGATAACAGTCGAGGTATTAACAATTAAAAATTCGGATAACAACCAATCGCAATGCATCTTCTTTGCTGCAACCGGAAGTAGGCGTAGCTTAAGTAACAGAGTTGCTTGCTTCTAGCTGCTGCAAGAGAAGCGCAGTCTAACTGGATAACAGTTTTTAATTTTTAATCGTTAATAATTCGGTTTTTACGCATCGCATTAAAATACGAAAAAGTAAAAAACATTGTCAAATTTCATAATCTAATGGGATATTTTTTTGGGACGTTGTGTATATCTGGGAATAAAGACAGGTACAAACTTAGTTAAATTTGATTACTTATACGGAAATTACATTCAGCATGCAACTTGTACATTAATTTTGTACAATCATGCAACTGAAACATCAATATACTGAATAACTATATAAACTAAATTAGACTTTCTTTCTAATTATCACTGTCTGAATGTAACAATGTAGAAATTGGTATTTACCCACGATTAATGAGATTCTGCATTATTTACTAATTAAAATCAGAAACAATTAACCGAAACTGATCGAGGGAAATAGGCAGTAGTTATAAAATGAATGGATAGATTATTTACATAAAGAATAGACAATAATATTTGT